ACCTACATAATTTGTATGTTTTTGGTTTAACTCACATGTTATTATATTCACATATATAATATTTATAATAATCATTTTTGTTTTGCTTTTTGTGTGTCTGGTGTTGGGGAATGATTATTTTTAATGGTTATAAAATGATCAAATTGGTGGAGATCTTTCAGTAAATTCTTCCCCTACTGGGCATTAGGTTGTTTTATTTATTTAATATTAGAATTTTATAATTCTTATCTTTCTCTAGGTAATATATTTTTAATCAAAACTTGAGACTATATCCTTAAGGAAAAAAATAAGTGGAGGGCTGGGGATGTGGCTCAAGCAGTAGTGCGCTGGTCTGGCATGCGTGCGGCCCGGGTTCAATCCTCAGCACCACATACCAACAACGGTGTTGTCTCCGCCGAGACCTAAAAAAAATCAATATTAAAAATTCTCTCTCTCTCTCTCTCTCTCTCTCTCTCTCTCTCTCTCTCTCTCTCTCCTCTCTCACTCTCTCTTTAAAAAAAAGTGGAAATAATAAGTTGAAGTATAAGAACTCTATGCTGAGTCTTGAAATTTGCAGTTTGCATAGTTGATAGTATTTTAGTATTGTCACATTATCAACTTTAAAATTTTGTTCAAATTGTTTTACATTTATGATTTTACATAGAATTAATCCTAATGTTTAACATATATAAATTTCACATATATAATATTTAACATAAATAATGGTTTCAAATTAATTCATATTCTGGATAAATTGAATTTTACCAGCTGGAGGTGCAGATGAGGATTTCTGCATGGAGGTAATAACTTCAAGAAGAGGTAGAAAGAAGGCATGTTTTTGGAAATAAGAGAATTTGGTTGAAATGTGATGCACAGACAATGAAAGAGCAAGAGATTAAAAAAAAAAAAGAGCTGGGGTAACACATGGAGGACCCTTCAGTGTTTAGGTGGTAAATTGTACCTCATCAGCTGGCAGCAAGAAGACACTGGCATCTCTGAGCAGCACAGTTTACTAAGCAATGTCARAGATAGGTCTTTAGGAGGTAGGTAACCCTGCACAGGGTGATGTAGAGTGAACACAAACACAGTCAAAATGTCCCAAAGATGCTTTTGTAACCAAGATGTCAACTTCTATTTCCTGTTAATTATATCCATTATATACATAAATAAATGTAGAACTTACTTGCTTTTGTCTAAATCTTGAAGTCTCTTGCTGAACTTAGAAGCAATTTCTGTAAAATTCTTTACTGCAGAAAATAGTGCATCTGAAACAGAAGTTG